GGAGGCGCAGCAGCTCCCCGTGCCCGGTGCCCCCCGCCTGGAGGCTGCCCATGTCCTACACAGCCTCTACCCGCGCTTCCTCGCAGGTGAGACCCGGCCCTGGGATGCGCCCAGCTCTGGGGTGTTACAGCCACATAGAACGGGGGGAGGATGCAGCCAGTTCTGGGGTGTAATGGCCCCATGTTACCGCCCCCCCCAGCACTGGAGGCAGCTGGCTGGGCCACACAGCGCCCCTTGCTGGGGGCTGAGGACTGGCGGGGAGGGTGGGGCCCCCCCGACCTTTGATCGCCGACCTCTGACCTCGCCGGGACCACCTCTTTTTCCAGCCTCTTATAAAGTCTCATTCTTTGCCCACCCCTGGGTCCTTCGTTCCTCGTCCCCCGTGATTCCTGGGTCCTGCACTCCCCAGAGCCAGCTGCAGCTGGGGACCGGTATGACCCAGTATATTGTGGTCTCAGTGTCCCACCCGGACACCCGTTACCCGTTCCAGTAGAACCAGCCCCTGTTCCACCCCAGAGCCAGCCGCACCCTGGTACCAGGATAGCCCAATATGACCAGTATAACCCAGTACCACCAGTTTAACCCAGTATGGCCAGTATGACCCATATCCCACCTAGATGCCTGGGTCCTCCTTTCTCTTTCCTGGATGCCTGGGTTCTCCCCCCGCCCCACCACCTGTTCAACCGGCCCCTCTTCTATCCCAGCACTGGGACCAGTATAACCAGTGCCTGCCTGACCTAGATACAGGTATAACCAGTGCCTGTCCTAATTGGGCACCACTATGCCCAGTTCAAGCCCAGGCACCAGTATAACCAGTCCCTGCTGTACCTTGGCACCGGTATAACCAGTGTCTGTCCTAACTGGGCACCAGTATAACCAATTCAAGCTGTGCCCAGACCCCAGTAGAACCAGTGCCTGCTGTACCTCGGCACCAGTTTAAGCAGCGTCTGCTCCGCTCAGGCACCAGTATAACCAGCGTCTGTCTTAAGTGGGCACCAGTATAACTAGTTCAAGCTGTACGCAGGCATCAGTGTTTTCAGTGTCTGCTGTACTCAAGCACCAGTATAACCAGTAATGTCCCACCCAGGCACCAGTATAGCCAGTCCCTGCTTTACCCAGGCACCAGTATAACCATGCCCAACCCCACCTGGACTCCTGGGCTCCCCACTCCCTGGGCCCCCTCCCACCTCCCCGGACGCCTGGGTTCCTCCTGCCCCCAACTCCTCTCCCTTACCCCGCTTCCCACACACACCAGCCCCTACCAGTGGCTCCCAGTTGGTTTATTTAATCTCAGGAGGGTGTGGGGCGATCCCAGGCATCTGGGGGTTGGCGGGGGGACCCAGACATCTGGGGCCTGAGGGCGGTCAGGCGAAGTACCCCCAGAGGAAGCAGGCGACCCCCATCATCACCAGTGCATGGGTGTCCACTAGGCGGCGCTGCCTGGGGGTGTCCTCCAAGGGGTGGGGCTTGTCCAAGGGAGGCGAAGCCAAGGTGGGGGGGTCCCCGGTGCCCCCCTCTCCGCACAGGCGGGCCCAGCAGCCGGGGGAGCCGGAGGGAGCAGGCACAGGGCCTGCACCAAGAGACCAGTATTCCCCAGTGTGACCAGTAGGCCTAGTATAACCAGTGAGACCCAGGCCCCCAGTCCTGCAGGACTCACCCCGTCCCACCCCCATGCCAGCTGCAGCCAGGCACCAGTATGCCCAGTACAGCCCAGTATCACTGGTATAACCCATGCCCTTTTCTCCACCCAGACGCCTGGGTCCCCCGTACCGTGTAGGGCGGGGGCAGGGGGCTCCGGCCCCTCCTCGGCCTCGGGGTTGTGGCGCCGGTCCCGGAGCCCGAACACCAGGCCCTGCAGCTGTAGGGCCCCGGAGCTCTTGTAGCCCCGGACTCCTGGGTCCCCTGTTCCTCCCTCCCAGACCTCTGGGTCCCCCATTGCCCCCGGCCCCATACCTCTGGGTCCCCCGTTCCCCACTCCCAGACTCCTGGGTCCCATATTCCTGCCTCCTGGCAACCTGGGCTCCCACCACCAGATGCCTGGGTCCCCCATTCCCTCCTCCCAGACTCCTGGCTCCCCCCACTGTTCCCCCCGGACGCCATCGCTTTTTCCATCCCTGGACTCCTGGGTCTCCCCTTTCCTGCTCCCTGACTCCTGGGTCCCCCATTACACCCTCTCCCAGCCACCTGGCCTCCCACCACCGGATGCCTGGGTTCCCCATTCCCTCTTCCCAGACCCCTGGGTCCCCTCACCTGGTGGCGGGGCGTCGCGGGGCCGCACAGCGAGAGGCCCAGGGCGAGAGCGGCAGTGGCGAGGAAGAGGACGATGGCGAAGTAGAGGTAGTGCAGGCCACAGAGCGCGGGGGGGCAGCGCCCTGGGGCCCCCCCACAGCCCCCTGCGCCCCCCAGTGCCAGCTCTGCCACCAGCCGTGGCAGCCCCAGCGCCAGCCCCCCCAGCAGTCCCCAGAAGGCACCCTGTGGGGAGGGGGAGGGGG